AGTTAGATGCACAACTGCATGTGTAAAAATGTTTGTGTCACTGTGTCTAATTTGCACTTGGAGTTAATGATTAATGCATGATTTATACAATTGCTCATCGAGTGTGACTACAAGTTTGCATGCAGTCACACCGGCCATGCCTGCATTTGGCACACAGTTTCACTTTTTCCCTATGCAGTTACATGTCTCCCTTTTTTGACAGTCAGACCCACAGACAATAGCAGTGCCATGAAATAGCCAAAAGCACACTGGGTATTAACATGCAAAAAGAGCAGAACAAACATCCCACTCAAAAACTCTTCTGCCTGTTACGACCACGGTGAGTAACTTTAAAAACCTACTCCAGCTGACGTGGCATCCAAACATTAATTTGCCTTTGTGGAAATGGCTTTGAGAGGTGCTTTAGTTTATGTGAACAATTGGCTGCAGTTTCAGTTAGAGAATGACTTTCAGTTAAAGTATTAAACAGAGTTAAATAACGTAGCTCCAATGTACTTAATGCCTGTTGCCAAATTCAAGACTGAGGCCAAAATACAAGCCAGATGCATTGGATTGACAACTAGACTGAAGGCTGGTCAATGAAGATACAAGATAGATTATAAGCATAAGCAGATGCAAAGATGGTGATATACAAAACCGGGAAACATCACTATTCTGTAAAATTAAACATCAAAGGCTGTCCAGAGTTTACCCCTTCAAGGCATGATGCAGTAATGAGTTTAAAGTCCTGCATTACTGCTAATTCAACCCCCCTGCCCACAGTTATACCAAACAGTTTATCTAAGGTATTGTTTTTACTGCATTTACTATTCCTTAGAACTTAAAGAGAATTTTTGAATTACTATTAAAAGATTAATTAATTAACCTTCAGTAAAGCCTTCTTAATTAAGAAGCATTAAAGCAAAGGGCATATGCTAGAGACCTGCCATGAATATTGGTTCAATTTATAGACTCATACTTTAAGGTCTGAAGAGACCACCGTGATCGTCTAGTGTGATCTCCTGCACCTTGCAAACCATAGAACATCCCCCACTCACTCCTGTAATAGACACCTAACCTCTGGCCGCGTTACTGAAGTCCTCAAATCATGGTTTAAAAACTTCAAGTTACATAGAATTCACCATTTACACCAGTTTAAACCTGCAAATGACCCATACTCCATGCTGCAGAGGAAGACGAAAAAAGGCCCAGGGTCTCTGCCAATCTGAGGTCGGGGGAAATTCCTTCCCAACCCCAAATATGGCGATCAGTAAGACTCTGAGCGTGTGAGCAAGACCCACCAGGCAGATACATGGGAAAGAATTCTCTGCAGTAACTCAGACCCCTAGTGTCCCGTCTCCAGCTGTTTCATTATGTTCATTAATATGAATATTTAATTGTGGGAATGTTTGCCAAAAACTGCAAATTTTAAGCAAATATTGACAAATATTTGCAGACAGCAGATTTTAAATACATACCAATATTCACTCCAGAAATTGATTCTAGGAGGTATGTTCATCCAATCGGGGAACAGAAGCAATACCGTGTACCTAGGTGTCCAATCAAAGATATTCAACACAGCTTAAACTGGTTTCTGACTCTGGAATAGTTTCAATTAACTACTTGCAAACCAGATGCAGAACAAAAAACTATTTACAACTAATATTTGATAATTAATTGAATCATGAACAAATTCAAGAAAATCATAACCTGCTTGCAGACAACCTGCAAACAGGAAAAGTGATTTATTTAAAAGTATTTACCCAGCTCTGATAAATGCAATATCATTATTTCCATTGCATGTGTGGAAAACTGATTCACAGACAGGTTAATTGACTTGCCCAAGGCCACAGACTTGTATGCTGTGAGAGAATTCGTTGTCACATTCTGTGCCACTCAACTTGATTAAGGCACTGCAAGTCAGGCTTGAAGTGATCTCTACTTGTTCAGTCCTGGGTTGTTGTTTTTTTCTGTACTAGCTTCATATAGTGAAGAACTGCTGCTGCTTTATCGTGTGTTTAAAAGGAACTAAACAGCCATTAAACCAGCTTGTCGCATGAGCAAATCAGCACTTAAGTCGAGGTCTCCAGTTAGGGAAAGCCGCTGTGTTACATAAATGAATACCAAACCTGCTGCTGTTTTACATTACAAGTTACCATTATGTCCTCTGAGTTTTTTCAATTAGTGCACAAGTGAAATTAGAAAACCACGAGACAAAATATACGTTTTTCTACACTGGTCAGTCAGAGCACACAAGGTGATGCATTTCCTATTGTGTAATAAATTAATGCCCCTGCACTTTCATGTTTGGAATAATACAACACTGATATTCCACAGCACTGAGATATATATTAAACAATGATGATTAAAGATGCTTAGAAATTGGCGTCATCTGTAATCTCTGAAGATGCATATTAGGAGATAAACCCACCTCTTCAGCCCCACAGCCAGCCACTGGATGTCATTTTAATCCTAAACAGAAGATGATTTGAAATACAAGATACCTGGACCTCAATTGCACTGGTCTCCCATTAGGGATAGCTTGCATCTCCTCAGAGATGAGAAAAGTTTGGATAAATACACTGGGCAGTAACTGACGTCAGAATTTCACAAGATTCCTAACCAAAAAAAAGGGGGGGGCTGCTTGATCTGAAGTTGAAAGTTAGGTAATATACTCCATCTTCTTCTCAGCGTACATATCTCAGCCCTCTTCATCGGAAAAAAGGGTGATGATTTGCTTCCATTTAACTGTATAGAATTCCCTCTCTACAAACTACTCTGAGGAGTATTTAAGAAGAAAAGATTTCATGTTCACCCTGTTATATACTCTTTTAAACTCTAATTGGCTAGAGATTAACTCCCACCCCTCTGAAAACTCATGTCGAGAAGACAAGACCCCAAAAAGTTCTCAGATCTGAGACTGGCATCAACAGGAAAAACTACATAGACTGACTTCTCCCTTCTTCCAGTTCATGTCCGGTTCTCTTACATTTTCAAGCCTATTGCTCCAGTACATAAATATCCTTGAAAAGTTAAAAATTCCATCAAAAAGTAAAAGTAAAATGTGCATAAGAAAACAGAACACTGACTAAATGGTGTTATCCTGCATTCCGTTCCACCCACTGTATAGTGTTAGAGCTTCAGTTTGTGTAGTTGAAGGAGCTACTCTGATTTATTCCAAGCAACGATTCATGCTTAAATAGCAGCTCTTTGCCTTGCAAGTTCGTTCATTTTTATTTGTATTGTGACATGAGCCATAACTTTGTGAAATTACATTCTGTTGCCATAGGAAGGAAATACAATAATATCAGCAGAGAGATGTAATTTGAAGATTGGAAGAAAGGAAATCTATGTTTCTTTGATACCATGACAAGTTGAGAGCAGGTGCAAGACAAATATATAGAATGCAGAAAAGTCAGATTAAAAGGGTGGGATTGTATTTATTCCAGTGGTTAACTGCTCCTGTAAAGTGAAAACAGTAACATACAGGACACAAGAGTCCAAGTCCTCATCCAATGGAGTTTTGCCAGTTTACACCAGCTGAGGGTCTGGCCCCAACTAAAATGACAGCATCGAGCACTGGAGACATTATTAAAATGGGGAACTGGCCTTGTTTCCCCCTGAATTTACAGAGAGTAAAGTCACCAGTGTCTACTTTAGAAACCGTTTCTGCTACTTGCTGAAGTTCAGTGGAGAGATGCTCGTTTGGCTGAAACAGATGTTGGACTTTATTCCGATCTCACAAACACCTGGATTTGCCTGGGTGTAATTCCATCGGCTTCAGTGGAGTTACTCCTCATTTACACCAGTGCAAGATCAGAATCAAGCCCCATGACAGATCAGAAAAGACCTTTGCTTCTTTTATGCACAAAAATTGCACAGGATGGATGGATGTGTTTGTTCCCAGAAGTAATCTGACTTATAAATAAATTACATTGTTGAAGCTGGAAAGGGATCAGTATGTTAATCCTTCTCCTCCTCCCACTCTGCCCCCCTCTTTGGCCAGGTGGCAGCCTGCAATAAAAGTAAGCACATGTTCACCTGGAACACCACCACCTTCTGCTCTCCAGAGACCATTTCACGGGACTTACCCTTGGTCATACGAGTGCAAAGGATGACTAATGCTCAGGCTTGCACAGAGCACATCTACGAAGTTTTTCTGGCTTATTATGTCAGCTAGAACAGTGGTTCTCAGCCCAGGGTATGTGTACCCCTGGGGGTATGCAGAGATCTTCCAGGGGGTACTCAACTCATCTAGATCAGTGTTTCTCAACCTGGGGGTTGCAACCCCCGGAGGGGTCACGGGATAGGTTTAGGGGGATCACAAGTGCAGGGCCAGCATTACGGAGTGTCAAGCCTGGCAAATGCCTGGGGTCCCACACCACAAGGGGCCCTGCGAAGCTAAGTTACATGCGTCGGACAAGATTCACAAGTGAAAAAACAGGCTCAAGTACAATATTTATATTCCAATCCATTTATTTTATAATTATATGGTAAAAATGAGAAAGTCAGCAATTGTTCAGTACTAGTGTGCCCTGACACTTTTGTATTTTTAGGTCTGATTTTGTAAGCAAGTAGCTTTTAAGTGAGGTGAAACTTCGGGGGAGGTGAGACAAATCAGACTCCTGAAAGGGGTACAGTATTCTGGAGAGTCTGAGAACCACTGAGCTAGATTGAGCACTGGCTTGCAACACAGCCAGGTCTGCAGGAGATCAGTGAGTGACAGCGGTCAGCTGTTGTTCTCTATGAAAGCTAGCAGCTGCTAGGTTAAAAAAAAAGTCAATCAACCAACTAATTAATCAATCAAAGCACCTTACTGATCACTGATCTCTAGTTTCAGAGTAGCAGCCGTGTTCGTCTGTATTCGCAAAAAGAAAAGGAGGACTTGTGGCACCTTAGAGACTAACAAATGTATTTGAGCATCAGCTTTCCTGAGCTACAGCTCACTTCATCGGATCTCTAGCGTGGCTACATGCAGTCAGCTCTTAGCATGAATACAAAGGAACGCAGGGGAAACTCACCTGAATGACAGTCTTAAGCGTGGAGGCTTCCACAATGGTGGTACAGATCAGAGAGTCGGGCTGCTGGTCCCTGCCGTAGATCTCGCCCATGGTGAAGATCATGGGGATGGCCAGCAGGAAAGAGGCAACCCAGATGCAGCTGATGAACTTCTTGGTCCTGCTCCTGGACATGATGCTCTTGGCTTTGAAGGGGTGGCAGATGGCCATGTACCTCTCCACGCTGAGGCTGGCGATGTTGAGGGCGGTGGCGTAGGTGCAGGCGTCTCTCAGGAAGTAGTAGCCCTTGCAGACGGCGTCCCCGAAGGCCCAGGGGTGGTGCACCCAGATGAAGTTGTACAGCTCGATGGGCATGCACAGGAGGAAGATGAGCAGGTCGGAGAAAGCCAGGCTGGCCAGATGGTAGTGCACGGTGCTCTGCAGGTTCTGCAGGGACTTCTTGCGCACCAGCGTGTAGGCGGTGATGGAGTTGCCGACGGTGCCCACCAGGAAGAGCCCCAGGTAGATGACCGTGACCATGACTTTGGAGTAGATGTCGGTGTTCACATCCAGATCTTCCTCGCCCGGCCCTTGGGAGTACGGATCCGAGCTGTTGGAGACGTTCCCCGCCGCCCAGTCCGTGGGCTGCAGGCGCGACGGACCCGCGTGCTGTTGCCACGAAGACGTTGCGTTCAGCTGCATGCTCCGCGGCCCAGGGATGCTCGGCCCGAGCGGTACCCAGCGCTGCCCACGCTCCGCCCGGCTGCGAGGGTGGAACGCTGCCACTCCGGAGCGGCGTGGAAACTTGGCTCGTTTAAATGCGTCGGGGAAGGCGGCGCCCGGAGGGGGAGCGAGCGCCCGCCCAGCTCGATTCACAAAATCCGCGGGAGCAGCCTCCGGCGGCACAGGGGCTGCGCCTGGCCCTGGCGAGCCGCTCTCTCTTCCCCCAGCCCGCGTCTGCTTCCCCAGAGGCGACCGGCACCAACGGGCTGGCAGCAGGGCGATGATCGCTCTCACACACGTGCCCGTCGAAGCTGGGGAGCCAGTGGTGGGTGATGTGAACGAGCTGGGGAAAGGTAAAAGCCGGATCGAGCTGGAGCCTGGCGGATCCTGCTCCTTTCCCCCCACCCCGGGCTCACAGGCACCAACGGAGAGCCAGGCTAGGTGCTCTTGCTGGACCACTATTAACCCAGACCCCGATGTACCCCCCGCCCCCCTCGAGCACACGTGCCGCAAAAACCCCGGACCCAGCGCGTGGATTGCTCCTGGATCCAGCCACGTTTGGACCCCGAGCTACCAAATGCTAATTCCTAAACAGTCGGGTGCACCAGTGCCCGTAAAAACCTGGACCCGGCCCCAGGATCTAACTGCAATCTTTGGCCCCAAGCCCGACCTCCTACAATCTAAAGAGGAAATGTGTAGCCACAGTTAACTTTACTGTAAAAATCTGGACCCCCCCCCCCCCGCATCCTGGCCCCGGTAGTTGGTACCCGGAGCCCGTCTATTTTTCATCTTAACCCAAAATTCTACTGTCTAAACAGAGGGGGGAATCTCGGGTCCTAGTGCAGCCAAAAACCCCAGCTCCTGTTGCAAACTGGAGCAGCACCACAAAAACATGAGTCCAGTGGGGTCTGCAGGATCTTACCTTTTAAAAACAATTATTTTGCTCCCAGATTCCAAAACTGGGCACTTGTTGGTGTTCCTACTTGGCCAGAAAAATCCAAACTCCAACACATCCTAGTGCAAGAGCTACACAAATACACCTATAGGGCACCTGGATCTTGCTGGATCTGGCACATTTTTGCCCAGAAGTCTGTTAATTCTACTGGGTAAAGAGATCAAGTGTTGCCACCCCTAGCCCTGCAATTTAAAAGGTAATTCATTAATTAAATATCAGCAGGACCCCGTCGATCCAGCTTTTACATTTCTCCAGATAAACTCGCCCACCTGTGAATAATCCAGCACGGAGAAAAGATGTGGGTTCAGTTCCTGCAGCCAGCCTTTTTCCCAAGGCATCCTGGCTTGGGACCTATTGCAAAGCCTAGCTGGCTAATTAACTGGAAGGAATTGTGGGGGCGGAGGGGGGGGAAGGAATTGTGGGGGAGAAGGAATAGAAACTGTTGATGCTGTAGATCACCTTTGGAAACAGAGAAGCCTGGACTCTAGGGCCACAGCACACAGTGTGATGGACATTCAGCAACCAAAATCATTGTTACAATGGAAAAATTATTAACAGAACAACCAGGGCCAGGCAAAGGATCTTGTGGCCAGTGTGTCTGCCCACACTTTCCCGGCCACACAAGGCTGAACCATCTGCTGCTTGGTATTTAGTGGGAGAGGGAAAAAAAGGGAAGATAGATACAGAATCAGTGGCTTTTGACTTATTGGAATAAACACTGTAGCACGACTCACGTACCTGGGGTATGTGCAAACATCACTCAGAAAGAACGTAAATAACCAATCTGTCTGAGGCTGCCCACGCGTTTGGCAAAACTACTCCATGAAGAGAGGGAGCCAAAAATATGGTCTAAAAATGGTTGCCTCTGTTGTGTACAGTTATGATGTATCAGTTCAGCACCAGTGCCATAGCATAACTAGCCTACACACACACACACTCGCTCTCTCTCTCTCTCCCTCCCCATGTTTCTCCCTATTCTATATCCTCCAGGTTCCAGGATTTACAGTGTGAGTCTCCACCTCTCTCCAGCAGCTCCATTTCAGCTCCAGGCTTGTGGAGAAACTAGACTGAATAAGGTGCTAGAGGCAAAGTCTCCTCTCATGATCTGCTTCATGCAGCAAACATGGCTGTCGGCAACAGTTTGGGCTAGTATAGCAATTTTCAGCAGTAGGAAAGTCTAGCTCAGGGATTCTCAAACTGGGGAGTCATGACCCCCTGAGGTGGTTACATGAGGGTCAGGGGCTGACAGCTCCAAGCCCGGCCATGTGCGGGGGAGAGTGGGGATGTCAGTCCTGAGCCCCAGTTAAATGAAAATTAAATTATCCCACCCCCATTTTTAATTCAGAAGGGGTGTGTGTGCATTCAGGGGCTTGCTGTATGAAAGGAGTCACCAATACAAAACGTTTGGGGACCAATGGTCTAGTGGATAGCTCTGTAATGGGGTGACTTAGCTTTTCCACTCAGAAATTCCGGAGAAGGCCAAGGCCTTGCAAGTTGGGTATGATCCATGATAAAACTGATCTTTGTAAGAGCAGCGAGTCATTTTTTCAGCAAACTTTGCCTCAGCTTACAATTTTTTGGACTAATTTCAGGAAGTTATTATTGGAGAATGCTGCAGTACATCAGGAGGCCGCTCCTGGTTGCCCATATTAAATATTTGATTTGCAACTATTATCGGCTTGTCTCATAGGCCACATGGTAGCATTTCAGTTACCTGACTGGATCAGCATGGATAAATTCCCTCCATAAACTCCCAAGGAGCATTCCACAGATATTCTCCACCATTCACTATAAATTCAGTGTTTCCACCAGCTTTCCTCCCACTGAGGTCAATTGACAGAATAAAATAAAAGGGAGGAACCAGCTGAATGTGTATAAAACATTCACGCAAACTGGTGGGAACTGTTTTGTAGCACTCAACTCTAGTGAAGCATATTGGCCAAAAGGGTAGACAATATCCCTTTAATTTTAACATTTTGGAGTCTTTTATTATGAAATCTCCATGAAGAGGAAAATATCTTTTATTCCCTGGGGTTAGTCTGTCATGGGCTGGTGCATCCATCATCCACAACCACCACCCGCCCCCCCCCGATCATTTTCTTCTGGCTTCCAAGGAGAAGTTTCCTGGGTGACTTCTCAAGCTGCATTTGGAATGTTTAAGAGGAACTAAGGAAGGCAGAACATGAAACAAATTATAATTTGTTTCATCAGTTGCAACCTTCCTCCACATCAAATAGTCATTCTAATCAGTCTGAGGCATTTAAAGACATAGAACAGACAGACAGCTCAGATGATCTAACAAGTGAACATTTCAACCAGTGCAATATTATAGGGAGAATGCTGTAGCAGACTTTATATATACACAGAGAATATGAAACAATACCTCCTCCCACCCCACTGTCCTGTTGGTAATAGCTTATCTAAAGTGATCATCAGGTGGGGCCCACCTGATGATCACTTTAGATAAGCTATTACCAGCAGGACAGTGGGGTGGGAGGAGGTATTGTTTCATATTCTCTGTGTATATATAAAGTCTGATACAGTTTCCACGGTATGCATCTGATGAAGTGAGCTGTAGCTCACGAAAGCTCATGCTCAAATAAATTGGTTAGTCTCTAAGGTGCCACAAGTACTCCTTTTCTTTTTGCGAATACAGACTAACACGGCTGTTACTCTGAAACCTGTAATTTCATGTTAACCATGAACAAGTGATGTGTCTCCCCCAACTGCAACTCACACATCCATTGGGCTACATATGGTTTGAAATTTCTGAGAGTATCTGCATGCATGTATAAAATTCTCGGTTTTGGAGTGTGTTTTAAGTTTCTATGCACAGCCAATCGCAAATATTTTGGATTACAACCAAAAGAATACCATCGATCACACACAACTGTCACTGGGAACTCAGAGCACCAGATCCTGTGTTTTATCTCAACTCTGAATACCACCCGGCCTTGCAATGACAATTCTGAAAGAGATGGTTACAGAAACCAATTGCTCGTACTGAAATATCAGCCTAGCTGGTTCAGTTGCACCATCTCAACGGTACCCCTATTGCTGTTGATTTAAAATCAATAGTTGTCATAAATATAAAGGGAAGGGTAAACCCCTTTGAAATCCCTCCTGGCCAGGGGAAAGCTCCTCTCACCTGTAAAGGGTTAAGAAGCTAAAGGTAACCTCGCTGGCACCTGACCAAAATGACCAATGAGGAGACAAGATACTTTCAAAAGCTGGGAGGAGGGAGAGAAACAAAGGGTCTGTGTCTGTCTGTTGCTGGGTCTTGGCCGGGGATAGACCAGGAATGGAGTCTTAGAACTTTTAGTAAGTAATCTAGCTAGGTATGTGTTAGATTATGATTTCTTTAAATGGCTGAGAAAAGCATTGTGCTGAATAGAATAACTATTTCTGTCTGTGTATCTTTTTTGTAACTTAAGGTTTTGCCTAGAGGGGTTCTCTATGTTTTTGAATCTAATTACCCTGTAAGATATCTACCATCCTGATTTTACAGGGGGGATTTCTTTATTTCTATTTACTTCTATTTTTTATTAAAAGTCTTCTTGTAAAAAACTGAATGCTTTTTCATTGTTCTCAGATCCAAGGGTTTGGGTCTGTGGTCACCTATGCAAATTGGTGAGGCTTTTTATCCAACAGTTCCCAGGAAAGGGGGGGTGCAAGTGTTGGGAGGATTGTTCATTGTTCTTAAGATCCAAGGGTCTGGGTCTGTAGTCACCTAGGCAAATTGGTGAGGCTTTTTACCAAACCTTGTCCAGGAAGTGGGGTGCAAGGTTTTGGGAAGTATTTTGGGGGGAAAGACGCGTCCAAACAGCTCTTCCCCAGTAACCAGTATTAGTTTGGTGGTGGTAGCGGCCAGTCCAAGGATAACGGATGCAATATTTTGTACCTTGGGGAAGTTTTGACCTAAGCTGGTAAAGATAAGCTTAGGAGGTTTTTCATGCAGGTCCCCACATCTGTACCCTAGAGTTCAGAGTGGGGGAGGAACCTTGACAATAGTCTTACAGGCCGTTACAGTTCATTTTCATTTCTAGAGCTTTCAGTTCATAAAGGTATATCAGAGGAATCGGTGTCTCTTAATTAACAGCTGGTGCACTCAGAGCATTCTCTTTTAAAGTCAGCAAATGCCTCCATAGGATGTTTCTAAGTTAATTGATTTAATATATACTATTAAATACTGAGCAAGTCTGCTCCAGCCATAAATGGCTGAGGCATTTTTGTTAGTATAAACAGAAGCTCCCGCTTTACAACCAGACCCTTGCATCTCTTTTACAAGGCTGGGGCTATCCCAAATGCTGGGGTGAAATACA